AGTTTTTTTCACGGATCCGGCGATTCCAGATCCGGATACCTTGAAATTCCAGGATATCCGAATCCGTTCCATTTCTACTGATTTACGCATGAAAGACACGTGGATGGCTAAAGATGGCGAGTGTTGGGATTCAACGGTACTTGCAGGAGTGATGAAGGTTGTAAGGTAGCGCCGTTAAGGATGGTGGACGATCTATTTTATGGTTTTTTAACAGTTTTCGTTAAGTTTCAAGGAATAAAAAGGACAGTGTCGTTAAGTTTCACAGTGAAAACAAAATAAACGCAAGTAGGGTAAGTTGTAACGGTAAATAAGGAAGAGGTTTGTTACTTTTTTTTTTTTTACCTGTAACCTAAAAATTAGCTTTTACACATCATACAATTTCGTATTAAAAACAAAAATAAGAATTTATATTGCTATTTATTCTTCAGTACTATTTACAAAACATTTCTATAAATGTTTTTATCAAAAATTGTCGGCCTCTTCAGATGGTAGGTTTATAAATTGGTTCCTGTCAATAGTAATAAATTTCTGTTGTTTTTTTTTTCCATTTTTTTTCATCATTGTTTCCAAGCTATTGAACAGTATATTAGTTTCGAATGGGAAAGAAACATTTAAGTATTTTGTTTTCACGATTATAAGAAAGTACTTGTACGTAGTGGATAAATTATTTTATACAAATGGATATATATAAAAATATCGAGGACTATTGAGTGATATGTTTCTTCAAGAGAAAGGAACAAAAAAGAGGTCTTATAAGAGAGGGGTTTCTTCTTTATCCGACAGAGAGAACAACCATTTGTGTGTGTTTTCATTGGCCAATTGCGTAAAGATGGCAACTCTTTCTTACATATGTTTCTCTTATAAAAATTGTAATTTATTCACAATTAACACTTTCGTTCTGTATGTAATAATGATTGAACACATTCCTCACATTCACATGCTCAGGGTTTACATGTGAATGTAATATATAGCTTCTTAATTACGTAACTCTAACTACAACATTAGGGTTCTAATAGAAGCATTATTAATTTTTGATTATAAAGAAGTGATCAATCGGATTAAAGATTGACCGTCTACAAACTTAGATTCCGACAATGTTCAAGAAAGCGCTAGGCGCTAAGCGGGCGGTTACCCAATATCTAGTGCCTAGAATGCATAATCGGAGCCTAGAGGATTTAATAGGCAGTCTAAACGTTTTACAAAAATACATAATATATTAGATATATATAATAAAATATATAAAAAACTATAATTTATAATTAATAAAATTTAATTGTATTTTATATTCATCGTTTTATAGTCAAATATATAAATTTTTACGATTTATATATAAAAAAATTTATATTATTTTATTGTTATAATACCATAATATTCTTAAGCGGCAAAAATGGTAATCGCCACGATTTATAGAGATCTAACGCCTAAGCGCCGCCTAGACGAACGCCTAAAACGGCTTTTAGAACACTAGATTCCGAATACACTTCTTGTTATTATTGGTCGTGTTTACTTATTTTCAAATCAGTCCACACAACATATGTAACTTCTTCATCTCTCTTGCTTGTGTCAACAGGTTGTAATAAATTAAACTAATACAAATAAGAAATCCAAACCGGTGAAACAATGTTTCCATATATATTTTACAAACACTAATGGTTCGAATGGCGACATCAAATTAAGCGGTGAAGGTAAAAAACTTATGCGGAAAAAATGTATTTGTGAAATAAGTGCGGTTGTGCAAAGAAAGCGGGACGGAACAATGTTTGATTGGTGAAAAAATAAATAAAGTGTAGGTATAATTATTGTCAAAGTATAATTGATTTTTAAAGTACTATGGAGAACCAAAAAAAAAATTATTAAGGAATTGCATAAACCAACGAAATTCTCATAAGATTTTTTTTTCAAAATTTTTGAATTAAAAAGAAAACAAAACTACACCTTAGAACATCCTCAATGGTGGGTATCTCACATGAGTATCTAAATTTGACCAAACAAAAGTAATAATATTTAATTGAATGAATTTGTCAAATAGTGGAGAAACTCACCCATGAAATTCTAAATGAAGAAACTTTTAGATGAGTTTCTCTACTATTCAAGATATTCATTCAACTCACCCATGAAGTTCTAAATGAAGAAACTTTTAGATGAGTTTCTCTACTATTCAAGATATTCATTCATTAAAAATATTGTTATTTTTGTTGGTCAAACTTAGGATACCATAACCATTGAGGGTGCTTTTAACCGCATGGTAATAGGTGAGTAACAAAATCCAAGTGCGGTCCAATAATTTTCTTCACGTAATGTTTCACTTGCGGTTCAATTTCAGTTAAAACATTTTTTATTTATTTTTAAGATATTAAATACATGCAATACAAATATTGAGTGATTGGTGATGAATCAATATTTTATCCGTCTCGCTTTATTCAAAACCGCTCCGCAGCTGTGTCTTCCAATCAGACACAATTGCAGAGCAGTTTTGAAGGGTGTTCTATAGTTAAAAATTGTAACCTTTTGTTGTTTTGTATAAACATAACTGCACATATTACGTTTCAAACAATTCAACATGAGTATAAATTTAGAGAAGCAAAAAATGATCTTACTGAAAATTTGTTATCTCAAGCGCATAGGAAGATATATTTATTTGGTCGTCCAGCGCTAGGATCCCGAAAAACCAATTCCACTTTCAAAGATAATTGAAAACATTTAAGACCAGAAGTAAATCATATCACATAGCACAATCATGTGTGGTTTAAAGGGATGATGTCCAAGGATGGCAAGGCCGTCTCCCCAGTCTCCCGATGCTTACATCTTTGCATTGGAATGGTGGAGGAAAACTCATACTTGCTATCTAAGATTTTTATGGAGTCTCGTGATCATCTCTTTTTTTGATGTTCTTACAAAATATACAGCCACAGTATGTTAGTGTAGATTATACAACACTGTTTCATGATATAAAATGAGCTTTATGGTCACATTGTATTAGAGAACTAAGTACGAATTAGAGAATTAAGTGATCTCTCTCGTTTCAAAAAAACATTTACTTAATTTTAAATAAGAGAGAACCTATTTATAACGAAACTGAATGAGGTATTATTCTTGTCAATAGTCATTTAATAGTATACGTAAGGGCTGCAACATTCATCGTATTTTCTTTTGCAGGAAAAATACCTTAACCATGTATACATTTGTACTATATATTAAGGTTTTCATCTATTTATTATATCGTACATTTGTACTATTAAGGTTTTCATCTCCTCCCAAACAAAATACTACTAGTAATTAACAAAACAATCTTAAAAAAAAAAAGAATTGCGTAGGAATGAATTTCGAACTCATATATATGTCTCTATCTCATACCATGTGATAAGAACTTTTTAATCTTTAAGGTTTAATGGACGTAATATTCTCTTTGGTTAATTAATTTTCGGTCTTAATTAATGATAGATTTGTTGACCAAAATAAAATTAGTTGTAATTTTCGTTGGACATACATTATCATAATGTACAATTATAATTTACTCCAGATAGAGATGGTTCAATAATTAATATGTAATAATGAGAAGGTGTTATAATCAACAATAAATAAGTATAGATTTAGTGATAATCTGAGGATAGTTAATGTGATAATTAATAACGTTTGGAGCGTGAGAAATAGGAAGGACAAGCACCACGTGAATGTCTTTGAAATTCGTTTAGAATGGTCAAAAGAGCAAAGAAGAAAAAAAAAAAAACGCATACGCGTTAACTTTTTCAGTGCGATAGTGGTTACAGCTAAGGTAGGACTTATTTAAAAGGTACTCCTCTGTTTTATATTAGTAGTTATTCAATACTTAATTTTTTATTTTTTATTATTTATTATTCTACAATTTTAATATATATTTATGACTAATTTTTTATTTTTATCCTTAATTTTAATTTTATTTATTATACATATCAAATAAAATAATACATTAATTATAAACAAAACAAAAAATTTAATTATTTTTTTAATTTATGTAAAAATTTTCTGAGTATAAAATTGTCCGGGTCGATGGAAAAATTAAAATTGTCTTGTTAAAAAATTAATAATGACATTTGTGTACTAAAAATTCGATGGTAGGGACAATTAGCCCCACGTGTAACTCTGTGATATTGGTCGTTGTTAAAGACGAAGTGGTTGTCCTTGTAATTAGTTAGAAAACAATCATCAATTTTTTTATCAATTCATTTTTTTCAAATTTTTTTAGTATTAGCTCAAAAGAAGAGTGTGAAATCAAAGTAAAATTGGTCATCTAATCAGCCAAACATATAGTGGACTTAGATTCTGATAAGGAACCAAGTCAGCAACGAAAATAAGTAGGCATCCAAACGATTACAAGTAGGTATGATCGATTAACTTTTTGGTATTATACAAAAAAAAAATTCAAGTTAGAAGTTTAGGTKKAAACAATAAKAATACATATACATAGTTTCTTCTTCTAAGCATATATACTTTTGTAAACTACTCGAACGAATTAAAACTTTAACCAAAACTATATCTACTTGAACCAAAAAATGTAGGCATCCAAACGATTACAAGTAGGTATGATCGGTTAACTTTTTGGTATTTTTCTTATAAAAAAAAAATTCAAGAGTTAGAAGTCCAGTCTCTGACAATACATATACATAGTTTCTTCTTCTAAGCATATACTTTTGTGAACGACTCGAACTCGAACTACAACCAAAACTATATCTAGTTGAACCAATCAATCGTTTTCATTAACTTCTTCGCAAGTTTTTTTGTTTGTGTGTGTAAAAATGGCATATTTAATCAAACATGTGAGTTGTGTTAAAATTGCAAAAACTCTTTTCATTTGCCGAATCGAATCCACAACCTTCAAGCATACTCCTAATCAACTACAAGTGTATGCATGCAAATGCACATTATTCTTATTATAATATCTCTACAAAAGTACATAAATAAAGAAAAGAAAACTGAATTAAGGGCACTTGGGTTTGCCCTTGGAGCTAAGCTTGTCTCGATAGCAAGGGCATTGATGCTTGTTGCCAAAGGTACCAGAAGGAACACACTTGCATTGCCTGCAACAAATGCCACAATACTTGAGACATCTGTCTTGAAAACCTGCCTTTGCACACCTTCCTCTGCATCTACTCCCGCAATATACCCCCATGCCTCCTCTTCTTCCTTAATTTGTCCCATTTCAACACTCACATTAAATTTAAATTAAGATATATGTAACATGGTATTAGCCCTTTACAATGATGAAACATACTTATAATTCATATACCGATAATATATATATGTGCAAACTTGCAAACATTACTTATGCATGCACCCCCTATGTGAAACATTAAGTGCACATGTTTTTTTAATAAGCAAACATACTTATATTTCCGTTAGAAAATTATTTTGTATAACTTGAGTTTGTCTTTGAGTTAAAGACTCTGAAATGCCTCATCTTGAAATTTCTTTTGTTCGTAACCAATTAGTTTTCTATGATTAGTCATGCGATCTAACCTTGTTTGAGATCCTGATATATATGCATACCATAGAAACTTCACAATGATTAAGTGTGTTCATTCAATACCAATCAATCTTTAGTTTCAACAAATAAGACCATGATTCCTTGTATTCAACTTTGTCAATAAAGTGTACTTATTGTGCTATTTTAAGAAGGATCATAGATGATCTATTATTAACATGTCATTTCTTTTTAATTGATAATTGAGCTTCTAATGGGTTTCTTGTTGTGCAATTACTTCACTCAAACAAATTGATCACACTTTTCTAAAACAACTATTTATTCTGATTAAAACGTGCTTAAAAACACATGCATGTATACATCGAAAGAGGTCGAGGGATGCATGCGTTATGCGTTAGTGCGTACATACCTGGAACAGCCGTGGCAGGGAAAATCATGAAGGGTAATATGAGAAGAGCAAAGAAGAAGAAGAAAGTAACAGCTTTCCTATACTTCATTAGTAATCTAAAACCCTAAAAATCTTTTAGTTGTATATATGAAGAGAACTTCTTGAAGTCTCTTGGTGGTGTAAGAACAAACGATTTGATGGTGAGAAGTGATATGATCATGAGATTCATTTATAGAAAGCCCACCGCCTTAATTTCCCTGCCGAAATAAATGTATATTGATGATTATGTTATTTTGTCTAGACGTGTGGCAAATTGATAAAATTGTTTGGTCATTGTGATTTCTTGAAATGGCTGCAATCTTCATACGTCGTCGATATGCTCGATGATGTCTCTGCTCCTTAATTATTTCTTCCTTACCTCTTCAACAACACGACACTTAGCTTCATAACAAGCCATAAACGTTAGACTCATGACATCACAAGC